TGGAGATGTAACTGGTGATGTTGGTATTCTAAGACGAAACAAATCAAAACAAGTGATATTTGAGAACAACTATTAACAAATCAACCCCACCCGATCTTCACAATGACAAGCTATCACAAACTCACTCTGTATTGTCTTATATAGAGATTTCTATTTGGTACCTTGTAAGTCCAATAGATGAATACATACACTTGTTGACCAAGTTTGAGACTTTCATTTTAAGAGGTAGCATTCCTTTAAAGTACCAATGTATACTTACCCGCCGCAGGATCCGTCTTCGGCGGTTGTACAAGTACGAGTGTTACCATCAAATATCAAATCCCCAATACATGTTTTTTGAATACTAAATAGACCAACACATACGATATAATCAACACAACTACCACAAATAGCATATGAAGCCGCTTCCGTTGCCCCAGAACAGTCATTTATACAATCTGAATTCAAGAAAAGAAAAGATGATATATATACTTTCAATCAATAATTTTTAGAAATATTAAAATAGAAAATTCTTATATTTCTATATCGCTCAACAATGGAGCAATATTTTAACCGCTTTATAATTGATGTACTGAGCACCTTTTTAACCGTTGTATTTCTATATCGCTCGCTCTACAATTGATGTATTGAGAACTATTTTAACAGCGATATTTCTATACCGCTCTATAATTGATATACTGAGCCCTATTGTAACAGTAGTTTGTCTATACCGCTCTATAATTTATGTATTGAGCGCTAAATACAGTTGTATTTCTATACCGCTCAATGTATTGAGCACTATTTTAACAGTGATATTTCTATATCGCTCTACAATCAATGTATTGAGCCCAATTGTAACAGTGGTATTTCTATATCGCTCTACAATTGATGTATTGAGCACTATTGTAACTAGTATTTCTATATCACTCTACAATTGATGTATAGAGAACTATTTTAACAGTGGTATTTCTATATCGCTCTACAATTGATGTATTGAGAACTATTTTAACAGTGGTATTTCTATATTGCTCTATAATTGATGTATTGAGCACTACAGTAACAGTGGTATTTCTATACCGCTCTACAATTGATGTATAACAGTGGTATTTCTATATATCAATCTTATGGAGCACAATAAAAGTAAACGTCTTACCTAACTCTGTGGGAGACGTATTTGGACTGGTAGCTGGACTGGTAGCTGGAGAGGTTTCACCAGTAACGGTTTTTGTTAAACCTGATATTAAGATAACATTATAATATATTATATATTAAAATATAATTCAATTACCTTTGCAGGAAGTATTGCATGTTATAAGCACCGTGACATGAAGCACAAGGAATTGAACATGATGTGGCTAGCTAACTCCCCAGACATTGGCGAAAGTTGAACTGAATGATTACATACTACAAAGCATCACGACACCTGTCCTTAAATTGCATTCAGTAGATATTTGATTTGATACGACATACAGTTAGGAAAATATATTGGCTTACCCCAAATAAGTACCACAACGACGCATAAATATGCCCTGGTTTCCATTGTGTGGTTTTACTTCTTGTTTCGTGATCAATTATATGAATTTACGGACAAGATCAATCAAAAATATTTCTGAAAATGAAAAAAACCAATATTACTAAACTCGTCAGCAGACACTTTTGTGTAAACTTTTGAAAAATCATAAAGAAAATATCTTAACCATCCAAAATCGAACTCATCCTAAAATTACATTTTTATAAATCCGATCAAAGATCCCATTTAAATTAGGACGATGACTTAAAAAATAAAATGAAGAATCACGAGTATTGAAATCATCCGAGGTTTAAGAACAAGCATTCCACATTTTTGACCCAAAATTAAGCCCTATGGCAGTTCTGGATGAACAGACGGATAGACGGGCAGTGTTAAATATAAAGTGGGCGTATGAAAGAAACTCTCACAAAAGAGGTACCGTTTTATCATCCAATCGCTGAGAGTTTTTAATCCGTTGATCAAGTTCTGCTTTCCGGCATAATTTGGATCTTTGATATATATTAAAGAAAGTACCAAAATTTCGGCATAGTACTCACCGACGAAATGTTCAGGTAAGTCTGTCCTGCATTTGTGACAAAATTTGTTTTTTTTTTTTTTTGGGCGGGAGTCTTTAGCTTTAAGGCAATTACTTCTATCTTAATACATATCTATGAATCTTTGAATATCTAAGCATTGGCTCGGAGCAGGTTTACTGTGTTGTAGGATTAGCTTGAGGATTAGTGGCGTTTCTATGAATTACTAGGTGGAAACGAAGCGAGTTATATTGCACTTTGGCACGATAAAAATAATGATTAGACTAAACAACTAAAAGGGTATCAACACTAATATCACCGAAAAACACCCAAAAGGAAAAGTTGTGATAACAAATAATAATATACAACAGTATTACAGTAGTTCACCATAGGGGCTACATAATTGTCAAATGCAGCAAACAGCACCAGGCACGTATAAACTCAACGATAATAGATTATCAATCACAATTGTCTTCTACATATCGATTGTACCAACAACCTTTATTTATTTAATTTTATTAATTTGTGGTTTTCTGTTTGGGGTCAGGTTAGTAGTCGATCTTCATTTAGGTAATGTCAGGTCGACTAAAACATTCTAAACCATGGCCTTTTGGATTTCGCCGTTATCTTTTAAATCTGCCAGAATCCGAAAGGTTGGGAAACAAGGTTGATAAAATCAAAATTTTCAAAAGGACTACTTCCTAAAAATATCCAGTTGATCTCAAATTCTGCTTGTCGCAAAGTCGACCTCTCTGTCGTTTAGGTCTGCTAGAATTTGAACGACTTTGATAATAATATTGAAACATTCAAAAAGGACAACTGCCTGAAAAAATCAAGTCGATCTTTATTCTGAAGGTCGCAATATTGACCCCTCACCCTTTTAGATGTTAGAATTTTGAACAAAAACCCTAAAATATATTACAAGCTACTGGAGACTGGAGCACCACGACCGATTGTGCAGGTCGAAACATTGACCACTCACCCTTTCAAATGTGCAAAACTTTTAACATCATCACGAAGAATAGATCTTGACGTAGTTAACAGAATGACATGAAGGGCATAGATTTATATTTACAACCTTTATCCTAAATAAATTACGATTGAATCATGAAATGGGGAATGTTAATAGGTCCATATCTCTTAAGGATGTAATTAATATAACTGGTTTATGTTTCATATAATTTCGTTTATCCTTAAGGCACTGTAATAAGACGTTACCTTGGCCACAAGCTGAACTAAATTCCCAGAAATTGTGTTAATATTACCGGATGTCTGCTTGTTTTCAGGTCCTGTTATGTTTAGTGTGACGCATGTAAAAATTATTCATAATTCCAGGTTTTATTGATAATATTTGTAGATAATATTTTATTACAGAGATATGCGGGTTCGCAATCCGAAGCAATGGCCATTAAGAGATATGCCACAGGTAAAATAGATCGGGTTGTCTAGGCTCTTTATTAAACCATAATTAGACCACTAAAACCTCACCCATATTAATATTGTTTATATTTCCAAGAACCCGACCAACATATTACAAATGTTGTTAAAAGTATCAGAATTCGAAAGGTTGAGAACCAAAGACTTAACCCGACCGAAGTATGGCAAATGTAAATTGTATTCAGTTGGCATTGATCTTTAAGTCCAGGTTAATTCTTATCAACTCATCACATCATAGGTTTGGTTTCGTTTCCAGTTTCAGAGTGTTGGCGTTATTCAATAATTTATGTGACTATTTTTTGTTTGTGAAATTGAAATGAAATCTAGTTTTACGTCCTACATTCTGCACTTAACTGAAAATTGATAACTGGCAACGTCGTGCAATAAGGAACATTTACGTACATGGCCTGTATGAGCACACGGATTCTTGTTTTATTGCCACGACTGTGAGCAACATTGACCCAATTACTATTCAATCATATTATTAATTTCATCACAAGTTACCTCCCTTGAAATGAACATTGATTGGGTATACAACCCAATGTTATATCTGCGCAGTAGGATTGTATATTTGCTCTTGTGATGCATTCAATTTATTATGAATATTGGTGGATGGAATATTTTAAAGCAGATAAACTTTACGAAGCATTTTTTGTTTATTAATCGCATGCTCAGATGTGATATATCGCAGGTGTACTGTAGAGACTATAGATGGTTTAATTGAAGTTTATTATGTAGATGTCTTGTATAGATGATATAGATGTTTGATATACCATAGCTCATATTGCACACTTTGGCCAAACTTGTGATATAACTTAATTATCAATAAATATCTAGCTTTATTGTCTGCATAAGAACTCTGCCACTTCTGCAAAATGTTGGAAATGAATTGCCGGTCACAGTCTACCCATGATCATCTAGGTCGATCTAAAATTTAATCGACCAAAGAACTCCTGAAGATAATACTTCAAGACCACCTGTAATATCGGGTTGTGGACATTAAAGACCCTAGGGCAGTAATCAATCGAGAAAATAGAAGGCTTATAGCGATTAACTGGCAAAAGTGACAGAATCTGTTATGATGTGTGTCGTGATTAGCAGAATCCGTTCCTTCGTGGAATCCATTATCATGAATAGCAAAAACTGTTTCTCTGTCTTATTGTTTCCCATATCAGAATCTGGTCCTTTGAATTTTGGAATCTTTTATGCAGATCATTATTATTATACATTGAAGCAATATTTCAATTTTTATATTAATACATATAGATAGATAACATTGAAAGATATAGCTTATTAAATATTTTTTAAGAAATATGGTTGTTAAATATAAATTCGTCATAGAAAATATATATGTGTCTTGGAGAATGTTTGTCTTGACATGAAATGGGCAGTGTATGTCTAAATCTCAACTTCAAAGCAGCAGTACAGTACAGAAAAATATAGCTTATTAAATTATTATATTTAAAAATTATGGTTGCTTAATATAAATTCATCATAACAAAATAATATATGAAATGTAATGAGAAGGGTTTCCTCAGCCTCTAAGCATCAGTACAGGTAGACGACGTGTACATACATTGTTTGAGTCTGTCGTCCCAAACAGTACCAGCCTTTGCACAGGGTCTTTCATCAATCATAATTCCATTAGAACATGAGGCGTACATATTGCACCCATTACAGGACTGGTAGTCTCCATTAGCTTTACGACTGCAATCATCAACACATTCTCCTAGTCCCCCTAACGCCCTTAACACAGTACTTCCACTACTTGTCGCATCTTCAACTCTACAATAAAAAAAACAATTTTAACGAGTCTCATTTAATGATTTGATGACTAATATTATTCCTGGAATATTTATTTCGATCGGTCTTATTTATCCTACGTTGATTATCTAGTTATTGGCGGATGTCGTCCACGAGGCAGAGTATGTTCACTATGATACTCTCTCGAGGATTCACTTTTATTTAGTTTAATTTCCGGGATGTTGATTACCGATTGTTTTTTTGTCCTGTCCATGGATTTTCCGAATGGCTTTGAGACTTTGGTATTCAAACGGCTTTAATGTACTAGTGTTGAGCAAATGATATGACACTTAAAATAAAACCGTGCTTACCCACAAGTCGTGACCTCTGGAAAGTTACAAGTGGTTCCTACAATATCGAACAGTAGACCGCCTGTACACTGTACTTCCCCTATTAGAATTCCGCTAGAACAGATGTGATATTTACTGCAGTCACCACATACTGGATAAAGACCTGGAGCCGCCTGTGTTGAACAATCTCTTGAACAAGGCGCTACTTCTGTAATAACGAACATTTGGAGAATGGATATATTTATGCAGTCTTATGAAAAATGTGACTTATGTTGACAATTGACTCTATTCAGGTTTCATTCCTCTATATGGGGGAGATTTAAAACGGAAGGGGGGTATTGCAATCGATCAGTGATCTTGAAAAGGGTAATAGAAATAGAAAAAGGTTGTAAAACTTTGCTCTAGACATCCGATGGTGATAGAATATATACTCGCGTCCACATACAACGTGTTCTCTTCCGAATTCGTTTAATGAGCTATTTTGCTGAAATCGTCCAAAATAATAAACGCTTCGTTATACCTGTTCGATTGGGTGTTAGAACAACTGCGGTGGTTTGTGAAGTAGCTGGAGAGGTGACAGCTGATGTTGGTCGGGCGATTCTGCGAATTTGATAAAAACAAAAATTGTTTTATAACATTATAAAAACTGCAAGGACATTCTTAGATGTATTTATTATACCCTACTTCTCTTTGGAGGAGTCTTCTAATATACAACTTTGACTCATGATTTTGCCATTCTTTGGACGAGGTATTGGACTTAATATACCAATTTGTTTGAGATTGTACAAGTCCGTTATAGATTGAGAACACTGTCTAGAATCGACTCAAACTGCACTATTAAGTCTTTATTTAATCACTGAAGATGGAGGTGCTCGCGTTTTGTTCTTAATTGGCACATGGTGGGAAACATGCTGAACACTTACTTAATTAGCCTAAGATGGGATATAGGTAACTCTTGGCCAGAATATAACACAGGGCGTATGTTAACTCAGTTGACTAACTGGATGTGATAAAATCTTTTCTTAGTTGATATGGATGAGAAATATGCTTCCCTAAATCGTATGATCGGTAGTTTTAGATTAGGAATACTCGATCATTGCAGCAGAAAGTATTCAGATTTTTTACAGGCCCTAACTTACCCACATGTGGTGCTTTCTGGGAAATTACAGGTCTGAGTCACGATATCAAAGAGTAGTTCAGCTGAACATGTCACCGAACCGAGCAAGGCTGAATTAATACAGACATCGTACGCAGCACAATTCCCACAAACAGGATACAAGCCGGGTGCAGTTATTCCGGCACAATTATTTGAACATTCAGTTACCTCTGAAATGGTAAATTTATATTAATAATAAGGTGCCTTAAGTTCGAAATACCAGCAAACCCGAAATATATGATAAAAATCATCTACATTGTACTAACGATCCGAACCGAAATCATATTAGCGAAACATTTGAAGCAGCTAATGAACTTTTCACTTGTTCAACCCAAACCAAAAAACATGGCCCGACTTTATAAACTTGAATCCGAAAACATACCTGTCCTAGCGGGTGATATCTCTGTAGTCCTGCAAAAGAAAAACATGCGATATTTGATAACAATATCGGATTTCAATCTTGAAGTGAGAGAAATTGAAACAAAGTACAAACAATCCGTGCATTTTGGTATGTCTTGATTGACTTGACTACTTTGAAATATCTACTACAAGTCTAAATGTTATTATGGTGAACAAGTTTTAAAATCGGGAGTACATGTATTTGCAATAGCAAATGAAATTCTATAACGGCCTTTATCTAAATATTTGCTATATATCGTCGTCGCAATGTTCAAGATTCAATATTTTAATATTTGCCTGTAATAATGTAAATAGCAATAAAGATATGCCAATAACAACCCCAAAACATCAATTTTACGCTACACTTACAAACAAGTAACAGCATTGGCAAAGTTACAGGTTGAGGTGGTGATATCGAACAACAAATCTTCAGCACACTGTACAGGTTGTATCAGGGTGTTGACTCCACAGATGAAGTATCGGCTACAGTCAGAGCAGTGTGGGTACAAACCAGGTTCACTAATATCAGAACACGAAAATGTACATTCTATAAGAAAAGAATATGAATAAAAAAAAAAACATCTGCCAAAAAAAAAAAAAAAATCCAAAATAACATATTGGCGATACATTGGTAGCAGCAAATAAACAATTTATCTGATGAAGTATATCAATTATAAATTGATAAAACATTGGTAGCAGCTAATATGAGGAAGTATATAAATTGTAAATGAGTAATTATTTCATAATGAAATGCGGTATATAACGACTTTAGCTTGCTGATTCAAAACAGAGTAACTACATAAGTGAATTTGTGCTTTTCTTTCTACACGGAAAAGGAGTGTATGGTTTTTACTGTCAATTGGAGCGGCCTATCGAGCATGTCAGTTAGCAATTAATTTTATTTCGTTTAGCACTGTCTGGTATGAACATATTCGGTATCCATTCTTTAAGCCAAAAATACTAAAATCTTAAGATGAAAAGTAACACCAACAATGTGGTTATTCGGTGGAAAATAATAAGCACATTTTTACAAAATTTATATGTTGAGATATTATTTAACGTTCGTACACCTACCAAAAGGTATCGGACTCGTTGCAGGTGAAGTTACGGGCGATGTTACTGGACTGGTGACCGGAGAAGTTACGGGCGATGTTACTGGACTGGTAACCGGAGAAGTTACAGGGGATGTTACTGGACTAGTCACCGGAGAAGTTACAGGCGATGTTACTGGGCTGGTCACCGGAGAAGTTACTGGACTGGTAACTGGGGAAGTTACAGGTGATGTTACTGGACTGGTCACCGGAGAAGTTACAGGCGATGTTACTGGACTGGTAACTGGGGATGTTACAGGTGATGTTACTGGACTGGTAGCCGGAGAAGTTACAGGCGATGTTACTGGACTGGTAACCGGAGAAGTTACAGGCGATGTTACTGGACTGGTAGCCGGAGAAGTAACAGGGGATGTTACTGGACTGGTAGACGGGGAGGTTACAGGTGAAGTGGCCGGGCTTGTTGATGGGGATGTAGCTGGTGAGGTTACTGGGCTGGTAGCCGGTGAGGTCGACGGAGATGTAACTGGTGAAGTTAATGGCTTGGTTCTATAAAAAAAAATTAAACTCATTATCTCAGCAATTAATCTATATTGAAGCTTAGTTTGTTATATTCTTATAGGATAATTCTATTTTTTGGGAATTTCAAAATAGAAAATAAAATTTCAAGAAAAAAGAGGAACAGTTGTTTTTGTTTCCAAGTCAACGTTTTAAAATAAGTACTCACGCACAACTTGTGTCGGCCGGGAGACTGCATGTATTGTCAATAGCATCAAATAGTAAACCTCCAGGACATGGACGAACACTATTAAGTGAATTGCCGATACACAATACAGATATTGAACAATCCGTACATGAAGGATAAACTGCAGTTCCAAGACCAGCACAGGAATCTTCGAAACAAGTGGCTTCAACTTGAAATAAATAAACCAAATACTAACGATCTGAACCGCAAAACAAAACCCGAAACACATACAACATAGACTACTGGCAAAACATTTGAACTTTTCACACGAGGAAATACATTAACAAGATTTTAAATCATTCACAGAGCATAATTTTTGCAGACTTGGGTCATTGTTATTAGGTTGATGCCTGTTCCCCCATTAAAGAAGCAACGAAAGACGGAAAGCCATTGTTGCAATTCTAAATGCCCAGTGCTGAAGAGGTGTTACAAAAAAGCATCTGATCTGATGTCGAATATCTTGATGTCAACTCCTAACAATTATCATTGAATGATAAATAACATTGTACAATGTACGTATCGCTTACTTCTTGCAACTGGTATAAGACTGGTAGACGGGGATGTTGCTGGACTGGTTGAGGGAGATGAAGCTGGACTAGTAGACGGGGATGTTGCTGGACTGGTTGAGGGAGACGTTACTGGACTAGTAACTGGAGATGTCGCCGGGCTGGTAGCTGGAGATGTTACTGGGCTGGTAGCTGGAGATGTTACTGGGCTAGTACCTGGAGATGTTACCGGACTGGTAGCGGGACTTGTAATGGGCGATGTTGGCCCAGATATACTGTGGAAATATTAAGAGCGAAATGATAAAATTACTATTTAAGTTAGGACTTAATTGTATAAGGGATAAATCGTTTCTATTACTGAAATTTCTTTTGTGGATAGTTGTGTTTTGCCCTGATAAAGAATTGGCCAATATTGGGATTCAAATGACACGTCAAAAGTAGCTAATGGAGATTGTATTCAGACTGCGGACATAGATTGTATTTTTCTAAAATCTGATAGCGTACCTCGAAGTGTTATAAGCCGATCAAGAAAAATGATCAAAATGGAAACTAAAATCAAGATGAAGCATGTCATCAGAGCCGTTTAAAATAAAGACAGAAATATTAATTGTTAAATAATCATAGTTGTCCTAACAAGACGCGAAGGATCTACCACTTACCCACAAACGCCACCTTGTGCAGGAGCGCAGCCCATAACGTTGATATCGAATATAAGACCAGCACCACAAGCCAATCTCACCATGAACCCTGGGAAACACGTCACAAACTCGGTACAGCTACCACAGAATGGAAACATCCCACCCTGTGCTACATTGGAACAGTCTGTTGTACATTGTGTGATTTCTAAATTCATAAATAAAACATTCATTAGTTCAGATATCGCGCTAACGCTTAGAGTCTTAATGGTAGCAAGAATACCAGTCAGTTTTCTTTACAGATAGACAGAACTGACAATAAGTTTCATGGTGATAATTCATCACATGCAGAATGAGTGAATTTTAGAACAACGAGTCCACAAGACCATTTCGGTCCGGTTGAGTTATGAAGAAAAACTGGACTTTTCCCCCAAAGTTCAATATTACGACAACATACCTGTAGCAACTTGCGATGTAGTTGGTGGCGTTCCTGGTGACGTTGACGGTGATGTCACTGGTGACGTTGATGGTGATGTCACAGGTGACGTTGATGGTGATGTCACAGGTGACGTTGAAGGCGATGTTACTGGTGATGTCACTGGTGACGTTGATGGTGACGTCGCTGGTGACGTCGCTGGTGATGTCAGGGGTGACGTTGGGGCTAGGGTGACTCTACAAATATAATATGTATGCCCATATCGAGTTTGGATTTACTATGCAGATACTATGTAACGAACTAAAGCGCTTACTCTTTCCTCTTTCAAGCTCACTTGTAGGTCCAGAGTTCATTTCCATTCCATGTAAGGTTACTTACATTGATCATCGTGTACATAATGTCGTTTTCTACCTTACTATATGGGATTTCAATTCTATTTTATGGCTTGAAGTTACCTGTCATGGCCTAAGATATTTTGCTAACATAATTTATTTCTTACCCACAGACAGCGCCAGCTGGTGATGAACAGCTGTATTCGGCGGTATTATAAACCAGGCCGTCTGTGCAGCTCAATATATTTCCCAACTGCTGCCCATTAATACAAACCACAAAATCCACACAGTTACCACACTTTGCATATTGTTTATTCTCACTGGCTTGTGAACAATCGGTAACGCAGCTTCCGTCTGGAAAAAACAAGAGCCCAAATAATCGAAAAGTCATATCCGACAAGTGTTTTCTTTAACGGCAATTTTGGAAAGGTTCAATAACAAAACGTGCTCATATCCTTGGGGCGCACTTACTAACATTTGACTAGCAATCAACTGCATTGTCAATCGAGTCACCGGTTGCTTTGCGGTGGCTAACATGTTGATAAAATGCCATAGTATGTTTGGGAAATAGTCACAATGAATTGATGCCAATTCGGGTTGAATTTAAACTCAGTAGATAAATACTAATATTCTATTGGATAGTTGAATTATAAACCAATGATATCTGAGTGTTTAAATTCCATTTAAAGAACTATACAACCAAGTATTGGGAGGATTGTAACTGAGGATAGCATACATTCATATCAAGAGAGAAAAAACATACCAGCCGTTAACGTATTGCTGAAAAACAAAATCATAGTATGTGAATTAGACATATTTGTTATAGCTCATTCTCCAGGCATGTTGGCCATTGCCGTCATTTTGCTCAGACCCGCGGTCAATTTTGTCATAGAAATATAAATCAAAATAAAACGTGTAATCAACATTGTCTATGGTTGATTTTGTAAAAAATCAAATTTATTATTTATTTGTATCTCTTTGACTCACAATTATTTAAAATTAGTATCAAAAACGCATCCAAAGATTCAGCTATTATGCCACAGATTGTTTTCTCGGAAAATACATGATATTAACTTGTCCAAAACAAACAATCTTATTTGTACTTGTGTCTGTTTTGATTTTTACTGCTGTGTTTATTATGAAATATCACGAGATATGTTTTTCGACGATTTCAGTAAAACTAATTCCCGATACTAGTAATATGGTAATATGTCTCATCTTACCCACAAACGGCTTCATTTGCATTTTTGCAAGTTCCATCGAAAACATCATAGTTCTGGCCAGCACCACAAGTAATGGTTTGAACCAATGCGCCGTTATTACATTCGTGGAAGTTATTGCAGCTTGAACAATCAGGATATCGACCAACACCAGATCCAAAACAATCGGTTGTACACGGCTGAAGTGCCAAGACTGAAACGTAGAAGGAGGCGAAAATGTGAAGCTGAAGCTGTGGAAAATCAGTCTTTCAAGGCAATCGACTCCGCTACTGATAGTCCGGGAAGGATCAAAGCCAAGAGTCAAGGACCAGCTGGTAGAAATGATCTTTAATTGAGAACTTAAGTTGTTATCCTTGTGAAATATATTTTATTTTTTTTTTTAAAATGTTTCTTTCTTCCTTTCCTTTTTTTGGACATCAATAATTTGATTGGTCAAATAAGATTGATTTGCATCAGAACGTATCTCAATTGCTTGAAGTTGAGTATCCGATTACTCATTTAACGGTCTCGATGACAGAAGATGAACTTCAAATAAAAATATCCCGATTTCAGTTGATTTGGAAGTTTATTTAACATACCTGCTGAAACGTAGAACAGGAATGTCGCAAGTAACACCTGCATTCTGATTGCCGGATGTCTCATATCTGATGTTCTTTAGTCGGAATTCTAAATATTAGAACAAACAATGACATTTGATTACATTAATTGAATACCTTATAATATATTATATCTTGCCTGCGCCTAGTTCTTCGCTTTAAAGAAATACGACATCCTAGGATGACCAAAAAAATAAAACTGAAAACTTGAGTTTATATATTCACCAATGTCATAACCATACAACAGAATCCCGCTTAAATCCGATAAAATCACGCAGTTTGATAGATTTATCTTCAAATACAGAGATTTTGTTGATTAGTTATGACATCAGGTAAGTCCACTGAAGAATATAATTGTCTTATTGGCCAAGTTTGAGACGTTTATGTTCATTTTAAGAAGCGAGATTCCTTAAATGATACAGTTTTCATACAGCGTTGTATATCTTGTGGTGTCTTCAGTTTCCTATTGGTGGGACATACTTGTCAACTACAAGAACTTCGTAAGCTGAATCAAGTCATAAACAGATGATCCCACAGATGATCTAACAGTCAACGAAAAAACAACTTATCTCAGTTTTTGCCAACCTCCGAGACTACCAGACGTTAACACATTTGTTATATTTACCTGTGCCTCAAAACGCGGCAAATTGAAACACCTTCAGTTCAAAATAAAAGAAAATCAGTCCTATTACTAAATTGTACTTAAATTGATTTTTTTCTTCTAATTTGAAATGTTATCAATGCTTACCTATATGTAGATCCTTGTCTGACGTCTAAAAAAACAGAGATCGCAAATGTGTTTAAATGGGTGTATGTTACAGGGATTTCCCCCTCAGCAAAATGATATAAAAAGAAACTAAACCGGAGTTGATAAACCATCCTAAGTAATCAGAAGATTTTAATCTGTTAAATTATTCCCATTATTATCCTTCGGGTATCATTTTGAAATAATCCTGGTCTTGAGAGACATTAGAGAAACATAAAATAAACGTTGTGTAACTAATTTTATTACTGTTATTTTGAAATGCCATCTGCGTCCTGTTGACCGAATTTATGATACTAATTTCAGAAAAACATTTTTCAGACATGACGTGTTCAGTAAAAAGCAACCAAACACAACGAAACGATTTGTTTTATTGATAAGGCTCCGAAAAGATAAAAAGAAAGAGGACTTAACGCAGGCCAGAAATATTTTCAGTGATGTGAAATATTTCAGATTGTCCGTCTTTGTAGTTATATATATTTTGTATGCAGAAAAAAACAAATTCAGGTAAAGCGGCTTCATCGCCATCTTTATAGCCTGACGTTCATAGACCAACACGTCAATTAGCTCTCTGTTCATTCACTTCTCAAACGTTTAAGATCACAGCAATACCGTACTGAAACATTGTTTCAGCTTTTTGCGCAACCTTTTCTTTATGAGAAGGTTGTCGTATTTTTTAAACAAATCAATTTCAAATATTCAATATCCTTTTGTCTTAGTTTTGTTTTATAATTTTTTGAGTTTTGTTTTTTTTTAACTAGTTTGTGAAATACTACTGTGATATTGTTTTTATTATTGTTTATATCACCACTCTATGGTGTTTTTCTCTGATATTGTTTTTATTATTGTTTATATCACCACTCTATGGTGTTTTTCTCTGATATTGTTTTTATTATTGTTTATACCACCACTCTATGGTGTTTTTCTCTGATATTGTTTTTATTATTGTTTATATCACCACTCTATGGTGTTTTTCTCTGATATTGTTTTTATTATTGTTTATACCACCACTCTATGGTGTTTTTCTCTGATATTGTTTTTATTATTGTTTATATCACCACTCTATGGTGTTTTTCTCTGATATTGTTTTTATTATTGTTTATATCACCACTCTATGGTGTTTTTCTCTGATATTGTTTTTATGACTGTTTATATCACCACTCTATGGTGTTTTTCTCTGATATTGTTTTTATGACTGTTTATATCACCACTCTATGGTGTTTTTCTCTGATATTGTTTTTATGACTGTTTATATCACCACTCTATGGTGTTTTTCTCTGATATTGTTTTTATGACTGTTTATATCACCACTTTGTGGTGTTTTTCTGTGATATTGTTTTTAATTTCTTGCATCATTGTATATTGATCTCTTTTTTACCTTTGTAGTTTATATTTTGACTTGTGTTTTTATTTATCGTATTCAAGTTCTATATAGCCTGCTTTGGTGGTGATGATCTCTGTTTATTCACTGGACAAGTTCCTGTTGTAATGTAACCATCCTTTCGCTAAAGTGTCGGTTATTTCCAGAACCTTTTTTGCAAAAACAGTTTGGTCACGTGGAGAGAAATGTATCAAATGTATCAAAGGTTACACGCCAAAATTTGAATAACATTGTTTTTTTTTTTGCCAATAATAAATTCATATAAGTTGGATAAATATTCCCTTGTTTTATGATTTGGTCTTCAAGGTTATCATGTCGCCTAGCCCCAATAGTTGGTTTATGGCCCAATAACGCTTCTAGATATTAAAAAAAACGTTGGTTTACTGCAGAAGGCAATATTATTACAGATCGTAATACTTGATCACCACCACTACCAAACGATCCCCCAGGAGAAGGACACTACCAACCGTGACATGTTATTATCACCACATGCCGTCCACCGCATCATTGCACATGCCAGCCCTGTCGTTATGGTGGGGTCCGTGGGGCCAGCAAGTAAGAATTTATCCCAGGAAAACCTTCTTCAGTTCAGCATAGATTTGTTTATTTACAGTGTCTTTGTACAAAATCAAAAAGATATAGATTATGATACATTTTTGGCACCTCAAAATTGTCAGTTCTCTTGGCCTTTAATTCTTCAAATTTTCTGCGTACAAAATATTAGCCCCAGCACCAATTCATGTGGGAACAAAGTGGCATAATCTTCATGAATATGAGCAGATATTAATCAAATACCCCGAGTGGAAGCGTCTTGGTTTCAATGAAGAGAGTGAGAAGCCAGGGCGGGTTGGAATCTATTGCTACTAGGTCCATCTGCACCAATCGATCAACCTTACCTCTTATTAAGACTAAAAGATTAAATACAGAAGTTTTATTTATTTCCTAATATTTTGACAAATCTTAAAAAATGTCAATGTCACTGAACCACTATTTTGTTTCCTGATCCCCCCCCCCCCACCCCCTTTTTTTTACAAGTATAAGCACACAAGAATCGAAACAACTACAATGTACGTAGACCGCTTTGTATCCCCGTAATCACATGTTTTAATGGCTGAATAGGTCACAGTCAAAGAACCATTGAATTTCTCAGTGTAAATATATGCGTTGCCAGTCGACCAGAACCATTACGTGGACTGTTGCATCATTTTATAGTATTTATGTAATGGGTTCTTCAATTTTTGTGTCATGGTACTAACTTAATTGTTGCGATTTACGACTTTCCGGCATCATTATTGCAAATACATGTCATTTGGTATCCATTTTCGCCCATTAAGGCATTTCCCGTTTTAGCTAACAATTAAAAAGCTATCCAAAGGATTTTTTTTAGCCAAATGTCAATCCGATTTTGATCAAGTTTGTCAGAGGTCGGACGTCAGAGGGAAAATCGGATTGGCTCAAACAGAAACAGTGATTGTCCCTTACACTCACATATGCACCAGAAAACCGTATTCAGTAATCAGTAATTATAAATTTTACAGGTACAGAAAACAGAGAATTTAATACAACAGAGAAAAAACGAACAGAGTTGAGTCTTAGAAGGGTTTATTTTGCTAAAATACAACTGTATTGTCAACCAGGGTTGAAGTGGTATTGTGTGTTGCGACTGCAGTTGGTTTTTATTTTAAGCTTGACCGTGATGTATTAAAAGTTGACTCCATATTACTTCCATTGGACTGTATTTTCAGGTTAATATGCTATATATCTTTCCAATGGTTGTTTTGAGTAGGTCTGCAAAAAGAAAGTATATTTGAAAGAGCATATAATATGACATCAAAACAACCAACAAGATATCCGCTAAATAAATTGCTTATTAGATGTCTACGGTAAAAGTGGTTACCGTCTGATGTTTACCAAAAGTGTTGCGATGAAAGACAGTTGACTTCAAAGACAACAGGATTTGTGCCCCTTGGAAAAAGACCCTAGTTACGGCATCGGTACCAAATAATGACATAATACCCTATTCCTTATTACCTCTTTTACTTTCCTATAGAGCTACAAGTAGACGATCTGAAGACACAGGTTTTGAGATTATCATCCCAGAATGTTTGGAACCTCCCGAACACAACAGGACAAGCTACGCCATTGAATGAACCATTGAAACAATTGACATAGAATGTACATCCCGCACAAGACTGATAAGATCCATTGCGTCTTCCATTACAGGTACTGATGCAGTCTGGATTCGGGTCGGCTGTTGCTGCAGTAGTGGTGGGTTCCTCAACGAGCTCCCCAACTCTGAAAGACGAATCACAGTATTGGATGGGTTGATGGACAGATTGAAAGGGAAAGTAATTATATACTTTCTAACCCACAATCCCTACAAAACCGGATGGTGTTAAATAGGCCCAGTATAATCCCAGGTGATTCGAGATGGAAACAGATGACAAAATTAATCATCCTATTGGTGGAGAATCTCTAGATGAGGTATATTAATACAATTTCATGCACAAGATTTATTGAATTCGATCATATTCAATGCCGACCTAGTCCCTACAGAAGATTTTAAGTAGACTCGGGCATTTTTTTTTTAAATGTTCAGATTATAATTACGAATAGCCAAAATATGAAAGATACATGTCTCATATAAATAACAGACATCGAAGATGTAACATATGGCCATGTACAGAATTGATGAGGTGTTGCTGTTTGTGACCACATAATTTAAATTTTGATGGTTGACCTACCCACACGTGGTAAACGCTGGCCTCTGACAAGTGCGTGTGATGAAATCGTACAAAAAGCCAGAAGAACATGGTATGATGGTACGTATTCTCCCAAATGCACAAAATAAACCTCGGCTACAGTCACCACAGACAGGAACGTAACGTACACCAGAAATGTTGCTGCAGTCGGTGGAACATGTTGTTACAACTACCATAAAAAATATATATATTCAATATTTTTACATTGAACACCAGCTTCTGACTGTAATGGTACAAAATATGAGTATGGGCGTATGAGCTTTACATCAATTGAGCTCTGATATTCTTCCTCGTGTGAAAAGTTCTTAGCTGCTACCAATTGAAGTTGAATTTTCATCGGCATACACATGGTCATTACAATACCTCTTGCTTCGTAAAACGTCATTGCGTGTCGTGTTTTTTCCCTGTATATGTTATACATTTACCTGTTTGTCGTGGAGTAATGCCTGGTGGCGTTGTTGGTGATGTTGTTGGTGATGTTGCCGGTGATGTTTCTGGTGATGTTGCTGGCGATGTTCTTGGTGATGTTGCTGGTGATGTTCCTACAACTACTGGCGCTATCCTTAAATACATACAATTCCATTTCAATATAACACCGTTTCAAATTTATGTGCACAGGAGAGGAGGAAAGGGTGACAAGATTTCATTAAATTTGTTTTTGAGACAGAAGCTCATCTTATGTCATTTCCAAGCATATATACCAACCTAGTTCGTTTGCCTATCTGACATCGGCCAATCTACCGTGAAATCATAAATGTCATAAAGGCTAAACAAAGAAGCCAGATCTAGAATACGAAGAAGCTGTTGATTATACTTACGCACAAGATGCTGACTCGGGAAAGGTACATCGTTTATTGACGGCATCAAACAAAAGTCCTCTGTTACACATTTTGATGATGGGTACTCCACCGAAACATAGAACTGATTTATCACAAGCACCACATAGCGGATACTGACCGATTCCCGTGAGCTCGCTACAACTCTGTACCATGCACTCTTTGATGACTGAAAGTTACAATTAAAGGATGGCATGATAGTCTAGAAATTTCAAAAGTTTTTAGAAGTATTGTATTTAACCGAAATCACAAAAATAACACCGATCAATGCAGTTAATTCAGGCGAACAATGTATGAAGTTCGATCACAAAAAGAGCCGTCTGACCAAGGACATATTGACCATTAGTTGCCATAATATGGAACTCGACAGACCATACGTTTCAAGTGGAGTTATATGAAGATTCTAAGACAAGCTACTGTATTTATTAAATAAGGACGGACATTTTCGATAATCGTATTAGCGAAAGGTGTTCCTCTGTGATCGTGAATAAAAACTAACTTACTGAATGCAGCTGGGGTAACCCTTTCACTTGACGGTACCCCTGTAGTCATCTCTGGGGGAGTCCTAAAATAATGTTTATGGATTATGAATTCGCATCACTTGATGCCTTCGGATTTTTCAACCATGATTCTTCGCTGTCTGGGCATATTTTGGAGGAGCTGACGTCTTGTCGTTTGGATGGGACAATAAACTGATGCAATGTGTGTGCTACATGCTCTGCATATTAAGGATCCCTCGATGTTTGAAAAACGAAAACGTGGAGGTTTATGGCAATTTCCCTTATCGATGAAGCTAAACTGGGGAAGACGGGTAGGAGGTAAAACTCGAAATCAGTTCTCTTCTCATGATGTTCAAATTATAGTTATACTTCGCTTACCCACAGATAGCTACGTCTTGAAGATCACATCTCAGATTGACAGCATCAAATCTGAGATTATTAGGGCAGCTGATACGTTGAAAAATTGCGTTGTTGTAGCATAAAACAAACGCAGAACATGATGCGCAATATGGGTAAGCCCCATTTTGTGACACCTCTTTACAGTCTGATGTACATGCTGTACCTTAAATAGCAAAATCATTAGTATTAAGTTGATTCCTGACTCGGAATATTTATTTTCAGAAGGGTTATGGATAGCTAGAACCAGTACAAGATATACAAATACCAGTTTTACAGGAAAGTATTAGATCTATCTCAGAGCCACCTTCCGATTCTTTGATTTCTTGACTATGACGGGATAAGACGTAGTCAAATGCGATTTAGTCCAAACCATAGTTTAACCGAATTTAAACATTGAGCACATTAGAGTGATAAATCAACGATTACTTACCTTCAATGGTTAAGGAGAGCTGTGGTAATTGATTTGATGGTGCCAGATCTAGGTTATTAGTCAGACTGCTTAAGGACGAAAGTGATGGGTAATATCTAAAATGAGAGATAGTACAATAAATAAACCAACAACTAATGATCCGAACCGAAACATTGGCTAATAATATTTATTATGAATCGACATCATATATAGTTACACATAGATCCATTCGAATTTCGCGTTCATCTAACAGGCAAATTGAGATACGATAGAAGAGAGCCACTATTGATCTAAATGGTCGCTTCCATATTACAGACAGATTGGGATACCAGAGCAATGAGCCAAGTGTAGATCTAAATGAAGAAAGATAACACTGATTTTGTGGTTTGTGTACAAAAAGCTTGGACGCGTACATTCAACATCAACCAGGTATAAAACACAAATACAACTGTGGATGTGACCGAGAATGACCATCGTTTCTTTCTTCGTAGATCATACATCGAATATGACCCAAAAAAATGCTTTAGCGACGTAATTATTATATTTTATGTTGCTGTTGGATGCTGGTAACTCAAACGCCTTAGTAGAGATTCGTTGAAGGAAACCCAATGGCTTCTTTGTCTTAAAAAAGGTAAAGTACTTACCCACAAACAGATCCACTAGGAGGAGTACAAGAACGAACCAGGAGGTTGTAGACTTCGTTGTTGGGACATTGTATCGGTTGTACAACTGAACCGGCGTTACAGACTATATATTTACTACAGTCTCCACAGTAAGGGAATTCCCCACTTCCAACATTCGAGCAGTCGACCGTACACTGAGTTGGCACTGAAATATTATCGAATCAAATTAATTTAAACTCTAAACATGATATCAGGTGTCACACGACAACAAACAATCCCAATCAAATTAGAATTGTTCTTATTCAAAAATTTTCTCGAAGGGTGAATTGACTTGAAAAATAAATAGTATAAAACAAAACTTACGTGAATAGAAATTATTGCTGTAAACAGAACAAAAACATTAAATTAAATTCAGAAGTACATAAAGTAGCTATTGATACAGATTATTAAAATATCTTTCATTTATTTTTAAGTCAAGGACAATTATAAATGGCTAAGATTGGTTTGTTTGGTCGGGAATAAATTGATCTGGTTGTATCTCATGATGTTGACCATTATAGTTCTGGTGGGTGTCGCGCGCGAAGCAGACCATGCTTACTCTTTTCGAAACACCTGGTGGAACTTCTCTTTAGAAGAGTCAGTCACTATGAAACTTTTACTTTCGATTTTGTCATTCTTTGGACGAGATTTTGATTAACGGAAGTGTCTTGCTTGGACAGATTTTTTCTGAACTTTGGTAGGATCGACACCGGATGTGACCATCTATGTTTCGTCCTATTATTAATGCTATCCACCATCCTAAAGGGGGCGATCATGACCTCAAATACCTACCCACAAACAGCTTGAGCCTGTGGTTGGCAAGTTTCGGAAATGAGATCGTACTGGGAACCAACAGCACAATTCTGTCTGGTTATCTGTTGATTGGAACAAACATGGTACGTCGCACAACTATCGCAATCTGGAAAACGTCCATCAGCGGACCCGGTACAGTTGGATACGCATGGATTGATAGCCAAACCTTTAACATGGAATACAAAAATAAGAATGAACGCATATCGCCAACATTTGATGATACAATAGAATTCAACGGCACCATGTTTATGGCATCTTTGTTCTTCAAATATGTACTGTACCAGTCACAGAAATAAATTTGAATTCAGGAGCTCCTGGAGCATCGAAGGTGTTGTCTAATAGCACTCCATTCAGAGCGTTAAAGGATGTACACATTGGGCATGAATCTGTCGTCCTCGATGGTTGAAAGTAAATGACCCAAATATTTGCTAGTTGATGAGGAACCTTTTAATTGATCATGACGGAAAGAAAGGGTCTTTATAGCAGGGAAAATACCACTGGCCAAAAAGAAAATTGAAACGAAAATAATGTACCTTGTTATAAATAATGTGTATATGCACATCTTCACAATGTCAAACTATCACGAACTGTGTTTAATACCTTGACTGCAATAGGCACCATTATATCACGGAAGTTCGTTAATGCTGTGATCATTTTGTATGAACCACACATATAGAGAGCGCACAATAATAAATATAACGAACCTGGCGGAATCAGGATCGCTGCCAATAAACACAAATATATCTTCATCATATATTCTATCTCAGTCAACGAAAATTAAAACCTGTATATAGAGATGTCAAACCATTTTGAAACCATATTGAAGGTGGAAGGTGTTAGAGATAGGGGGTATACCAACACTATCTAACCTACTTATTAACCATTGTCGAGTTTGATTTCTATGTCTATGTAACCAAAAGGAATTGGTGTGTCCGCAACCCCGATTCGCTATTCGGTTGCCTGCTAGTTAAACACTAATTTTTTTTTTGAAAATAACAAGGCGGAAATTATGAATTCAAAATATAAAGGTTTTTTTTGGTTTTTTGGTTTTTTTCAAGAACCCACTTTCAAATTGTTTTTTCATCTGTTCATTCCGATCATGAAAAAAATATTAAAAAATACCCTATTAATTAATTAATTAGATTACCGGATTAGGTGGATTAAAATTTAATGTAGATTAAGAAACTGTATAATAAAATTACTTACGGTCCAAAAGCTCTTGTAATTATAACAGTATCTAAGTAAATTAATCTTTTAAAAATGTGGAAAAGCTTTGATCCACGCCTCGTAATCATCCTCCAATAATTTCTTCCGGCTAAATAAAAAAATATTCGTAAATAAAAACATAAAAAATACTATGGCAGATAAGATAATACTGCTATTCTCTCGAGGCGATATGATATGACAACACCTTAACGAACGGAATTTTCCGTTCCATAAGAAACTACTTTTGGTTCAGTAATAGCGTTCACAGTTCACCGTCGAAATTTGAGCCTTCAAATCCATGTGTGTCCAGAATTATTCGCGTTTGAATGTTAAAATGACGACTCTTCAATTTAAGATACTCTGTGATATATAGATAAGACATATATAGAAATAGTGTGTAAAATTTCAAGTGACACAACAGTAAGACTCATTAAAGGAGAGACCGTGGTCCGAAACCTCTCCTTCCCTTCCCCACAAAATTCACGAGCTTTCATTTTTTTAAATTATCTCCAAAGTATCTTTTGCTTCTTAAATGACACATCAGTAAGACTCATTGAGAAAGGATCTGATGGTTTAGATAGGTGGAAGACAAATGCCTAGATCTCTAATCGGATTCTTTCAAAAAGATAACTTTTGATCTGGTCACAAGGCCACAAGACTCATCCCTCCCACCAAGAAAAGGTACAATTTGAAGATTAATGTGATAAAGCCAGAAACATTGTGATCTAAGGAATATATTGATATATGTTTGATACAATCAGTTATGCAGTTCAAATTTAAGTAAAATCTGTATGAATATATAAAGAAGGTGTTTGTGTTCTCGAGGTTGGGTGTTCATTTTCTTTCACAACAAGCTTGTAGAAAATAAGGGTAGTAAATTTTGTAGTGGGCAATGGAGAAATTTTCCAGGACGTATCTAATCTTTAAAAAAGTCTTCATGTACCCAACATATGGCCAAGGAACCTCAAACGTCTCAGTATTCGTTTCAGAACACCCTAGTCGGTCAGTGGTCAAAAATGTTATTATGATCATCGAATATCTTTAGGTTAATAATGTAAAATTTATCTGTCTTTTATCTAGATTATAAACCTATTTCTACGGGCGATTTGAATAACTTGAATAACTTGTCTTTGGTCAGTATACGAAGGATTCTTTTTCCTAGACATATCTCTGATTGGCCGACTAGTGTTACAATGTAAAAAAGGTATTGTGGTTAAGTTTATATTTCCGATGGCAAGAGCTCGCCTCCAGCTGCCGATATGTGTTTCTGATATTGAAATCGTCACCAGGAGATCTATGGAGGTTATCTTTCCATAGATATCGTCGGTATGATCTTAGTTATAAAAATACTGAACCGTTGGAAAATTTGTAAATTTGGTGAGGGCCGGAGATAACACCTTTTCGACCATCCCCTTCCCCCACCCCTGACTCGAAAAAGAAACGTCAAGTGTTTTCAAAGGATGTACATATCAAAGTCTCGTATTATCTAGGTGATACAAGCTGGGTATTTTAAAGATATAACCCTTAAGGGTAAGAAACGAAAAAGATTTTGCCAACGTCACTTTTTGACTTTTTGAGTATAAGTCGAGTACACGGTATCCGAGCGCCCGGCGTCTCTTTGCGGATTTTAAAGAGCACTAACCATGGTGGGTAGTCAGGGGGAGGGTGTGAGGCCTCCCGCTGGACAATTTTAATGTTGAAAGCTATTAAATCTGACGAGATTTTGGAAGTGGAAGTAGAATTAGCTGACCTGAAAAAAAGGGGGGGGGGGGTATAATGCAGCCAGTGTGCTTGGTTCTTTGATTTAATATTATTCTAATTTCGAAAAATCAGAAATAACAGAAAAGAAAATATTCGATAATAAGACGTAGAATATTTATTTTAACATTATATAAAAATACATTTATTTAATTAACTACATTTCTAGTTTTTATATCAATGAAAATTTTACATATTATTTGTTAGTTTTGCTCTTCAAATTTAACTACAAGTTGAGGATGTACTTTCGCATCGTTTTAGATTGTCATCCCAGACTAAACTGGGAGGACATGGTCTGTTATCAAATAAACTTCCACCAGAACAAGTGGCGAATACTGTGCAGCCATTACATGATTGATAGTCACCGTTCGGTAGCGAATCACAGGAAGTAATACAAGTGGATGGTAGCTCAGTAGGACTGGTAGCTGACGTTGCACTAGTAGCTGACGTTGCACTAGTAGCTGACGTTGCACTGGTAGCTGACGTAGCACTAGTAGCTGACGTTGCACTAGTAGCTGACGTTGCACTGGTAGCTGATGTAGCACTAGTAGCTGACGTTGCACTGGTAGCTGACGTAGCACTGGTAGCTGACGTTGCGCTGGTAGCTGACGTTGCACTAGTAGCTGACGTTGCACTGGTAGCTGACGTAGCACTGGTAGCTGACGTTGCACTAGTAGCTGACGTTGCACTGGTAGCTGACGTAGCACTGGTAGCTGACGTTGCACTGGTAGCTGACGTTGCACTAGTAGCTGACGTAGCACTGGTAGCTGACGTAGGACTTGTTTGTGGCGTAGGTCTGTAAAATAATGGTAAACTTAATATAGTTTTGATTGTAAAAGTATTAAGAGGTGTAGTGTAGTATGGAACTTTATTTGTCTTTGTTCTAAAAAAAAAAGCTCGTTAACCACTTAGTAAGTTTGAAAATCATAACTGTCCTCTCATGAGAGATGAGCGAGAGCATACCCAAAACATCAAAGCACCCTTTTTTACAGATTTTATTTTGACATATTCATCATATGCCTCGTTGTAAAATCTCGGAAGATGTATGGATTTAATATGACATTATGACTGATATGAAATAACTCGATTTGATACAAAACAAGCCTAGATATACCTTAGTTAATCCATGAGAAAGAGCAGACTTTAACTTACTTGCAGTCTGCTTGCAAATAGACGAGGTACACCGTTTGGTGCAGTGATTGTGTTCTCGATATATAAGACTAACGCAACTACATCAAGGCAAATGATGCAAATACCTTATGCTGAATTTGGCAAAAAATATATTTTGTTAAAAATATAAATATGATATTGGCTTAATATATTGATTATTTGATGTCTACAGTAAAAGTGGTCCCTGTTTGCCTCATACAAAAAAGATCCTAGTTAAGGCCCTGCTCTAAATTACATGCAGACTGCTTGATAAAGACGAGATACGCCGTCTGATGCGATGATTTGTATTGTCTTGATTCCCCAATACATAAGACTAAGACAGACTGTAACTTACATGCAATTTACATGGCTTTGATAATTACACACTTTAAGAACGGGATCAAAAACCAAACCATATGGACACCGAAACCAGTAAAACCAATGACCAACACAAATCACAAGCTTTGAGCAATCTCCACAATGACCAAAAATACCAAACGCTTTTGGTGGGCAAGTATTGAATACACATTCTACAATGAAAGAAGAAAGATTATTTAATAAAAAAAAATTCTTTAAATTCACAAAATTCAAAATGCTAAAAAAAGAAAAAAAGAATGCAGGCCATTTGTATAAAAATGTCTTTGGGTCAACAGAAAAATGAGATTTGGTGATTTACAAAAAAAAAAGAATATCTAACATTTCTTCTCTGTAAAATCAAATTTTGAAATAGGAATTAACATCAGGTAAAAGACAATTTAAGATTGTCAGTGTTAAACAAGCTGCACCAAGAGATCAAAAAGAACGTTTATTAAACGTCCAAGATTGAATTTTAGCCCCAAAATATATTTAGAAAGAATAATTGGATTAGTTTTAGTGCTATTGCAGATGTAATAAATGTATCATATTAAAGCAAACGAGAAAAAACTTACTCGAGTTGACGGTGACAATAAAAGTAAAACCAAAGAGGAGTGAAGCAAGGAGTCGTACTGAATCCATCTTCTTCTTATTAATTTAATAATGACCATTGTACTGGATGTTTCAATTTATATTAGACATATCTACCCACAGGCCAAGTTGATATCAGCTTTTAACAAATCATGTTGTCTGTTATTCAATTAAATTGCAGATAAAGGCGTGCAAGCCTCAAGACAAACTTGTTAACAATTGATTAGGGCGATTTGTTCTTTGATAGTTCAATGAAACACGAAAACCTCAGTAAAGGACTTCTGAATAGCAGAGGCAGTCTCCATCGAGCAACCCAGAATCAACATTGACGCAGACAAATGTTGAACATTTCTCCATGTATAAAATGGGACAGTTTGAATTTCAATAGTAAAACAACGTTCACATCAAGAAATCGACCAACTTCTTGCAAAAATGCTATCAAAGTACAACATGTACAACTTCTGCCGATGACGATTTTTCAATCACCGATAATTCCAGCGATTTGTTCTGCTATGCCTCGTTGTAAAATCTCGGAAGATGTATGGATTTAATATGACATTATGATTGATATGAAATAACTCGATTTGATACAAAACAAGCCTAGATATACCTTAGTTAATCCATGAGAAAGAGCAGACTTTAACTTACTTGCAGTCTGCTTGCAAATAGACGAGGTACACCGTCTGGTGCAGTGATTGTGTTCTCGATATATAAGACTAACGCAACTACATCAAGGCAAATGATGCAAATACCTTAAGTTGAATTTGGCAAAAAACATATTTTGTTAAGAAAATTAAAAATATAAATTCTTGAAATTCACAAAATTCAAAATGCACAAACAAATCAAAAAAGAATGCAGGCCATTTGCACCCGATTTGACGGTGACGATAAAAGTAAAACCAAAGAGGAGTGAAGCAAGAAGTCGTACTGAATCCATCTTCTTCTTATTAATTTAATAATGACCATTGTACTGGATGTTTCAATTTATATTAGACATATCTACCCACAGGCCAAGTTGATATCAGGAATGCAGGCCATTTGTATAAAAATGTCTTTGGGTCAACAGAAAAATGAGATTTGGTGATTTACAAAAAAAAAAAGAATATCTAACATTTCTTCTCTGTAAAATCAAATTTTGAAATAGGAATTAACATCAGGTAAAAGACAATTTAAGATTGTCAGTGTTAAACAAGCTGCACCAAGAGATCAAAAAGAACGTTTATTAAACGTCCAAGATTGAATTTTAGCCCCAAAATATATTTAGAAAGAATAATTGGATTAGTTTTAGTGCTATTGCAGATGTAATAAATGTATCATATTAAAGCAAACGAGAAAAAGCTTACTCGAGTTGACGGTGACAATAAAAGTAAAACCAAAGAGGAGTGAAGCAAGGAGTCGTACTGAATCCATCTTCTTCTTATTAATTTAATAATGACCATTGTACTGGATGTTTCAATTTATATTAGACATATCTACCCACAGGCCAAGTTAATATCAGTTTTTAACAAATCATAATGTTGTCTGTTATTCAATTAAATTGCAGATAAAGGCGTGCAAGCCTCAAGACAAACTTGTTAACAATTGATTAGGGCGATTTGTTCTTTGATAGTTCAATGAAACACGAAAACCTCAGTAAAGGACTTCTGAATAGCAGAGGCAGTCTCCATCGAGCAACCCAGAATCAACATTGACGCAGACAAATGTTGAACATTTCTCCATGTATAAAATGGGACAGTTTGAATTTCAATAGTAAAACAACGTTCACATCAAGAAATCGACCAACTTCTTGCAAAAATGCTATCAAAGTACAACATGTACAACTTATGCCGATGACGATTTGGCAATCACCGATAATTCCAGCGATTTGTTCCGCTTT